TATAGACCAATGGAACAGAATAGAGAACCCAGATATGGACCCTCAACTCTATGGTCAAATAATCTTTGACAAAGCAGGAAAAAACATGCAATGGAAAAAAGACAGTCTCTTCAATTAATGGTGCTGGGAAAATTGGACAGCCACATGCAGAAGAATGAAACTTGACCATTCTCTAACACCATTCACAAAGATAAACTCAAAGTGGATGAAAGACCTCAATGTGAGACAGGAATCCATCAAAATCCTAGAGGAGAACATAGGCAGTAACCTCTTGGACATCGGCCACAGCAACTTCTTTCAAGATACATCTCCAAAAGCTAGTGAAACAAAAGCCAAAATGAACTTTTGGGACTTCATCAAGATAAAAAGCTTCTGCACAGCAAAGGAAACAGTCAACAAAACAAAGAGGCAACCCACAGAATGGAAGAAGATATTTGCAAATGACACTACAGATAAAGGGCTGGTATCCAAAATCTATAAAGAACTTCTCAAACTCAACACTCAAAAAACAAATAATCAAGGCAAAAAGTGGGCAGAAGAGATGAATAGACACTTCTCTGAAGAAGACATACAAATGGCTAACAGACACATGAAAAATGTTCATCATCATCAGCCATCAGGGAAATCCAAATCAAAACCACACTGAGATACCACCTTACATCGGTTAGAATGGCAAAAATGGACAGGGAAAGAAACAACAAATGTTGGAGAGGTTGTGGAGAAAGGGGAACCCTCTTACACTGTCATTGGGAATGCAAGTTGGTACAGCCACTTTGGAAAACAGTGTGGAGTTTCCTCAAAAATTTAAAAATAGAGCTACCCTATGACCCAGCAATTGCACTACTGGGTATTTACCCCAAAGACACAGATGTAGTGAAAAGAAGGGCCATATGCACCCCAATGTTCATAGCAGCAATGTCCGCAATAGCCAAACTGTGGAAAGAGCCGAGATGCCCTTCAACAGATGAATGGATAAAGATGTGTTCCATATATACAATGGAATATTACTCAGCCATCAGAAAAGATGAATACCCAACTTTTACATCAACATGGATGGGACTGGAGGAGATTATGCTAAGTGAAATAAGTCAAGCAGAGAAAGTCAATTATCATATGGTTTCACTTATTTGTGGAATATAAGGAATAACATGGAGGACATTAGGAGAAGGAAGGGAAAAATGGGCGGGGGGAATTGGAGGGAGAGATGAACCATGAGAGACTATGGACTCTGAGAAACAAACAGGGTTCTAGAGGGGAGGGGGGAAGGGGGATTGGTTAGCCTGGTGATGGGTATTAAGGAGGGCATGTATTGAATGGAGCACCGGGTGTTATACGAACACAATGGATTGTGGATCACTACATCAAAAACTAATGATGTATTGTATGGTGACTAACATAACATGATAAAATTAAAAACTACAAAAAAAAATATTTTTACCACCTGTCATAGAGTATTAAAATGAATGCTATTAAGAGAAAGGAGGGTATTGGCCCCGCTGTTCAGAAGTGAGGGGTGAAGGGAGATGAGCAGTTTTCATCGCCACTTCCCTTATGAGATCTGCCAACTAAAGTGGCAGTAACTGGATGAAGAGCATAGACTTTGGAGTCAGAAAATGAGGGTTTGAATCTCATTTCTGCCATAATGAGCTCAGTAGTGCTGGGCACACAGTTGCTTAATTACCTCTGAGCTTCAGTTTCCAGATGAAAAATGAAGGTAATACCTCCTTCTCCAAAGAATGTGGTATTGCTGAAGGAGCCCGGGGTTACAACTCAGGAATGCCTTCCTTCTCATCCCAGTTCAGCCATTTACTTGAAGTGCATCCTTGGATAACTTCCCTAATCCCTCCAAGGCTTAGTCTTCTCTCCTGGCTGGTTTTGAGGATAAGGGATACTTCAGGTTGTAAATGATAAAGCCAATATAATGATGCAAATTCACTACCATATCAACATAGAACTTACGCTACATTGTTTTTGCTCAGGTTAAATATCATTTGGGACCAAATCTACAAAGAATTATCTTGTTTCTTTGCCTCCTGAAAGAGGATAAATGTAATAGGTTTTTATTCCAGCTACTTAGTAGAGTGTGTGGCTCTATGCTAGCCACTCTGTTTGAATGGTGTGGACTGTAACCATCCTCAGCTCCAGCCAGTGAGGATTATCCCATCCCCTGTGGTGCTTACCGGTGCAGTTAGCATTGGGGTTCTGTTTCAATAGTTGTGAGGTGAGCCACTCTTCCCAGCTGGATGTGAATGAAGCATGTAGCTCTGGCAGCTACTGGCAGCCATCTTGACACCAGTAGGGAAGAGTGAAGCCAGAGCTGAGAAAAATCACAGTGAAAAAGAATCACTGCTCTGATGATATCATGATCCTCTGGACTAAATCATGTCCAAAGCTAGTGTACTTCTGGGCTTTTTTGTTAGGGGGGGCAATAAATTTTCTTGAGTTTCAGGCTTGTGTTTTTGGGGTTTTTTTTTTCTGTTCTTGCAAGTAAAATAATCTTAAGAAATATATCACGTAACACTGAGTACGTTTCATTAACCCTCTAAACATCAGTTTCCTGGTCTATAATGGGGAGGGAGATGGGTAATAGAATACCTATCACATATAGGGCTGCAGTGAGGTTCAACAGTGCTTGAAAAATGCTTAGGACAGTGCTTGGCATAAAGTAAGCATTCAATAGACTGTGGCTATTTTTATTATGTTTGGAGCTCTACGCATTATGCTAAATGCTTTCAGTACGTCATTTGCCTTAATCATCATGTCAGCCTATGAGGTAAGATCTCTTATTCCCATTTTACAAATGAATAAATGAGGGTTAGAGAGCTGAAGTGACTTGCCCAGGGTCCCATGGCTACAAAGAGGCAGAGATTTCATAAAGTATCTTTCTTTCTTATTTTTCATTATCCTTTGACCAGATGATGTTGAGTGTATGGTATCAGTAAAATACTAATTGAATACCCATAATGTGCCAAAAATTATTAGGTACTAGAGACATAGCAGTAAATATACATATTCTCTTTGAGTTTAGTTTTAGAGGACGGTCCTACAACTACCCAGATTACAGGAGAGATTAGACTGAATTTGTGCCTTGTATTTATTGGCATCATGCTCCTAACCACTGAGCAACTAGCCAATGACACCCTAATCCTCTGGTGAAAAACCCTGACACTATGGTATGCAATTAAATGCAGAACTTAGGTCTCTTCTATATACAACTTAGAGCATACGTATACATATTACATTCCAACTGCTATTTAATTTCTCTTAAAACCCTGAGCTGAAATGTAACATTTCTTTTACATTTATTGATCTCATGGGTTAAAAAAATCTTTTTCATATGCGCTATAAAGGTATTCTCTCTATATTTTCTCTGCTCTAACATGTCAACTTGTATGTTTCCTAGGAAGTCTGAACAGTACAATTAGATGTGATAATGGGATGGAAGGAAAAATAGACTAGGGCTTCCACTACACTATTTTTTAGGAAATCTACAGGGAAATCTAATGGTGTGCTTTACTATTTACCCCTAGGTGACATTCTCCAAATGTCTTTACATGTTACGGAGTGCCTTTGATGGAACTGCTATCGCTAGGAGTGTGAACGACGACTAGGAGAACAGTTCGTCTGAACCTCCTCCTTACAAGTGTTGTCTTGTGTGCAGATAAGAAATTCCTCACCAGCAATCTCCAGTAAGCCTGAAAAATTTAAAGAGCCCCTGAAATTCTCTTAACAACTAGGTACATATTGTGTCTAAGGAAATGTGTCAGGACACATCCCAAATGAGAAGTCACGGGCTTTCAAAGGCAGGGGCAGAGGTTGTACTCTCCTAAACTGCCTCACCCAGGCTTTTCATGTAGTTTGCGAGAGAAGGGTCTGAGAGGAGGAAAGCCATCCTGCAGGTAAGTGATCCTGATTTTATTATTAGATTTTTACCTGTACTGAAGCCATACATGAGGAAACTAACATGCACCTGAGGATGGCGCTGGTTCCCTCTGATAGCTCAGCCTTAGATACCTTTGAGTTGTGGAGACGGACGGACATGCAGTCAGATCTAGGTTTGCTCTTTCTAGACGAGTGGCACTGGATGGACTACGTAACCACTCCAATCCGGGTTCTCACTGTGAAAGGAGACTGCTGCAACCTACTTCATGGGGTCTGGGAATAGACTGGCCCAACTCTGAATAGACACTCAATAGACGATCGTTTCTTTCCCCTTTAATTCTTAAGAAACTATGTAATATAATGTGTTTCAAGAAAAATGTCCCTCAACATCACTAGACTTCACCAGTTTGGAAGTACAAATAATTTTATACAAATAATACATTTTAGAAATGTATTTCCAGACTAATATAATACAGTAATGTCTGAGTACCACCAGAGATGTGCCTTGTGCTCCCTGACCCATCTTCTTCCAGCCTTTTGCTCATGTCTGCTGCCCAGGGAGATCCAGTTGGGGGCGACACCTTCTCTTGCCCCTCCTGGTGGTTCGTTCAATGAGAACAGGGTGGTTGCCTTCTCTGAGAACTCCGGAGATTCCCAAAGCATAGTATTGGGAAGGAGCCAAGATGACACAACTTTCTGTCAGGACTTCAGAACATCAGTGGCACACTGGGTCTGCAAGGAAAGGACCCTCTCTTACCATTTTGTTTCACACTTTGTCGCCTGGACCACGACGAGCACTACTTTTGCCTCCTACAAAAACAGCTTCTTTAGCTTCTCCCTACATATCCCTTTTTCCCTCAGAGTCCATAAGCAAGGAGCAGGAAATTCTCCATCCCACGGTCCCCTCTTCCACATAATCCTATCCCAGGGCAAATCAATTTCTGCAAACAGATGCTTCAGATTGTCAGCTTCCCAGTTCATCATAACCACCCAGACTCTGAACCCCAGTTTAGGCTCGGCTGGAACTCTCTCCACTCTCTCCACAGAATTACTGCACATTCCGATTTCTCATCCACTAGAGGTCTGCCTTCCAAATGAATAGCAAGTATGAGACAGAGTAAAATGTGTAATATAAATTTATTCTGTGACATTTTCCTCATTGAAGATACTTTAAAATAGATTAAAATACATCAATATTTCATGAAAATACCTAGAAGAATTTAGATAATACTTGTAATATACATGATTTGACCCTGAATATACATTTTTTTTATTTCAAACATCATTTTTTAAAAAATAACATAAAAATGGTAACGAATGCTGCATTCTTCATATATCCCATGTCTCATAAATTTTAATTCAACTGCCAGTTCTTTTCTCAACTATATATGTTAAGGGTATTTGCTTCTGTTGTTGAATGGTGAGAGTATCCATTTTCTGTTTCTCGGCAGTGATTTTTAGGTCTTCTTTCTCTGATTCTTCCAGGAAATGCTTCATGCTGAGTTTGAATAGTAATCGAGGGTCTGGTCCAGAAAGTGGTGGGCAATTACAGATCTCTCTAATTTTAAGAGCCTATAAATAAAGAATACAATATAATACAACATATATATTTATTTATAAACAAAATATATATACAAAATGTATTTATTTAAATTTATTTATACATTTAAATTTATTAAAATTATTCCAGTAATTCCTAATATGCTTTTTGTAAAACAATGAAATATAAGAATACATTCTCTATTTTTGGAATAAAAGGTATCTTAATTATAACACATGAAAGAGAACCATACAGAAATTCATGGTACATAGTTACTTTTTTTTTTTTTAAAGATTTTATTTATTTATTTGAGAGAGAGACTGAGAGAGAGCATGAGAGGGGGGAGGGTCGGGAGGGTCAGAGGGAGAAGCAGACTCCCTGCCGAGCAGGGAGCCCGATGCGGAACTCGATCCAGGGACTCCAGGATCATGACCTGAGCCGAAGGCAGTCGTCCAACCAACTGAGCCACCCAGGCGCCCCCATAGTTACATTTGCAATATTTGTTCACATAGCAACATATTTGAAACAAACAAATCTGCAGTGACTGTCCGATGTCCTATTGGGGATAAACAAGCTTTCTTAGAGGTGTCTCTATGATTTCAGTCAAATAAGGCCTGACTGTGAGAATACCCACCCAGATTTAAAAAGATTAAGACTCAGAAACAAAAACAAGAGCATACAGAAGTGTGAACATACTGAAAAAAGACACACGTGACTAGGGCAGTATGCGGGAGCACGGATGGTAATAACCCAGAAAAGTAAGCAAATCAAAACCATAATTTTTAATTCCAGGAAAAATAAAATGCTATAGGAAAAGTAATCACAGTCTACAACATGGGTCAGCTGTGACTGGTGTTTACAGTTTTAAAAGCACTGAATATTGATTTACCCCAAATCACAACTCAATACTGGGAAGAGGGAGAGTTGGATTATGTGTGTGTGCGCACAGGGTGTGCCAGTGATAAGGGGAACCTTAGTTTTCATCCTCTGCAGGGGAAAGTAAATTGGTAATGCCTAAAATTGAAAAGTTAGGAAGTAGCAATAGAAGTATGTTTGTTATGTAGCCACAGTGGGAAATACCAAAAGAATCATTTAAGAGAGCTGAAGATGGTTACCCTTAAAAAACTGAGGGCAGGGTAGGGGGACTGCTGCTTTAAATAAGTAGACTTGGAGACCCAGGTGATTCTTTAAAGTGGCTTACATAAATGACTTTAAGACACAAAAACTAAAATAGAAAATTTTTAAGGAAAAAACATTTATATCTAAGGAGGGGTTAAAAGAAAGATATTTAGGGGAGGGACCTAGTTTAATTTTTTATTTCTTCCCTTGACATGCATCACTATAATAAAGTTAGAAGTAAGTAAAAAGCAGGGAAGGAGACAGTCTTTGTGGGGATAGTAAAATTTTGGAAAGATTAGCCCAGCGAGGTCTCACTGATAAAATAATGATGGCGGTGGGAGGGGTTGCTGCTTGGAGGGGGGCCCAGGGAGGAGGGAAGGAGGCGGGGAGAGCTGAAGGACATGAAGGAAGAGGTCACATGGATACCTGGGAGAAGAGCATTCCAAGAAGCACCAGCAGGGAGTGCAAGGACCTGAGATGGAAGCACGCCTGGACTATTCTGGAACAGTGAGGAAGCTAGTGCAGCTGAAGCCAGGCGGGGGAAGGGCAGGAGCAGATTATGGAGGATCTCATGTGCCATGGTAAGGATTTTAGGTTTTACCATGAGTGGGCCTACCCCTGATATTTGTGGGGTCCATGGCAAGAATGTAATTGGAGGATCAGATACCAAGTGTTTAAATATCTAAAAGCGGTTAAGTCAAGCTAATAAACTACTATGAAAAATATGTTCTACTCCCGTACTTTGAGGAATACACATTCAAAATGACCCTGAACGCTGGGTCCAAAATTAGAATTCTTGAATTCTGCAATGTGTAAGGTTGCAGGAAGCCTGCCCACATCCTGCCACTGACCTGCTGTCCACTCCCTTCTCCTCCCATCCCTGGCTTAGCGGGCACTGTGAGGGGCCTTGTGTGCATGTATCCAAGGGAAGAGATCCACACAGGCCCCAGAAGCAGGTTCAAAGGTGTTTGGGCAAGGAATTCCATTATCCCAAATACCCAGAGTGCACTGGTAGGGGCACAGGTTCTTAGGAATATTCCTTCAAGTTCCACAAGAGAGGAAGGCATGCAGCCAGAGGCAAACCAGAAAAAGGTCTTCTAAATGGATGAGGCCATGGGAGGAGATTGGATCTAGGAACACTTGTGATTCTGAAGGAGGTTATGAGTTACCAAAATAACTAACAAGGAAAAAGCATTAAAGTGAAATTCTGTGGTGACAGGGCCTTATTTGATTTTCTTTGTATCTCACAATCATCCATTGAGCATTAAAAAAAATTTCATTAGGGGCGCCTGGGTGGCTCAGTCGTTAAGCGTCTGCCTTCGGCTCAGGTCGTGATCCCAGAGTCCTGGGATCGAGCCCCACGTCTGGCTTCCTGCTCTGCGGGGAGCCTGCTTCTCCCTCTCCCACTCCCCCTGCTTGTGTTCCCTCTCTCGCTGTGTCTCTCTGTCAAATAAATAAATAAAAAATCTAAAAAAAAAAAAAAAAAAATTTCATTAAAGTAAACTGAAAAATCAAGAAAATGTTTCACAACTATAGCACTGAAGTAAACAGAAAGTCAGAGCCTCAGCTAAATGGCACCCTACTGTCTGAACCCAGCTACCTTTGAGAGCGGAAGCTGCTATCAAGCTTTACACTGAGACACCCAGCACAGACTGAGACTGCCCTGGCAAAACAGGGACACACAGGCTACTCTTGCTCTAACTCCTTTACAGCCACGGTGATGTCCTTTTCCAAGGAGAAGCTGCTATGTGATGCCTACTATATCACATGCCTAAGACGTTCACTGGGGTCAGTAAAGGGGCAAGTGTGGAGTCCAGCACGTAACAGCGGGTACAACTGAGTGGAGCAAAGAGAAATGCAGGGCAGCAAACAAAGGGAAAAGCAGAATGCCATCGAATCTTTTATATTCAGCAAAAGCTCTTCTCTCTCCCCTAAGTTCTTTTTCAGTATTTTTACATTCAGCCAATATTTATAGAACACCACACTGAGTGAGGTGCTGGGCACACATCAGTCTGAATAAATAGTCATGATCCCTGCCCTCACACAATTTACTTTGCATTTCCCCATTATGGGGCATTTGAATTGTTTCCATCATTTTGTTTTATTTTATTTGGCTTTAATAAATTACCCTATAGGGGAGCCTGGGTGAATCAGTCTGTTAAACATCTGCCTGTGGCTCAGGTCATGATCTCAGGGTCCTGGGATCAAGCCCCATGTCAACTCTCTGCTCAACGGAAGCCTACTTCTCCCTCTCCCTCTGCCCCTTCCACCACTCCTCCTCTCTCTCTCCCTCTCAAATAAATTCTTTTTTTTTTTGAAAGATTTTATTTTATTTATTTGACAGAGAGAGACACAGCGAGAGAGGGAACACAAGCAGGGGTAGGGAGAAGCAGGCCTCCCGTGGAGCAGGGAGCCCAATGCGGGGCTTGATGCCAGGACTCTGGGATCACGACCTGAGCTGAAGGCAGACGCTTAACGACTGAGCCACCCAGGCGCCCCTAATTTTTAAAATTACCCTATGAAAATCTTTGCTTAAAGAAAAAATGTTATAACTTCCACTTGGATTTACTTGAAGTACACCCCCCAAAATAGAATGACCTAAACAGAGTATAATTTTAGTTTATATAGAACCAGACTGCTTTCTATCAGAAAGGCTTTACCAGCTTATAATGTCTTCAGCATATAGGCCTACCTAAGTTATTCATAATCAGTATAACATAAGATTTAATGATTTTTATCTAGATAACCGTATCATTTCAAACCTCAGAATCCTTAAGAATCATCAGCTACAGTTTACAGATTGAGCAAATCGAACCCCAGAAAGGTTGTGACTGGCAGGGAACAAAAAATTGCTTGGCAAACACTTACTGCAGCTTTATTCACAACTGCCAAAACTTGGAGCAACCAAATGTCCTTCAGTAGGTGAATGGATAAATAATCTGTGTTATATCTAGACAGTGGAATATTATTGAGTGCTAAGAAGAAATGATCTATCAAGCTATGAAAACACATGAAGGAAACTTAAATGCATATTTTTAAGCAAAAAAAAAATCTATCTAGAAAGGCTATATAGCATATGATTCCTACTATAAACATAACATTTTGGAAAAGGTAAACTGGAGATACTAAAAAGATCCATGGTTGTCGGGGCTAAGCAGGGAGAGAGGGACCAATAGGCAGAGTATTTTTAGGGCAATGAAACTACTCTGTGTGACACTGTAATGGTGAATACAAGTCATTATATTTGTCAAAACCCACAGAATATACACCAAGAGTGAAGCTAATATAAACTAGGGACTTTGGGTCATAAAGATGGGTCAGTGTAGGTTCATCTTTTGTAATAAATGGACCATTCTGGTGCAGGACTTTGACAGTGGGGGAAACTGAGCAGAGGCAAGGGGTATATATTTCTCCTGTACCCTCCATGAAATTTTGCTGTGAACCTAAAATTGCTCTTAAAAATAGTCTAATTAAAAAAAAAAATTAAGGGGGCATAGAAGCAAAAAGGCTTAGAAAAAAAGGGATTAGAACCCACTTCTGTTGTTTTTGTTTTTGATGCTTTTACATTACAATGCTTTTGTACTTTTTTTTGCACCACAGTTTGTTTCTTAAGTAAATCTTTTACTTAAAAAAATGTCCTCTTAAGATGTCTAAGCTATGCTTCATTGCTAGGAAAACTATATATTCTTCATAAAGTTTTTCTCTTAACATTTTTACATGTGATGTTTCTCTCCAACTATCTGTCAAAACAAAATTCTAGGGACGCCTGGGTGGCTCAGTCATTAAGCGTCTGCCTTCGGCTCAGGTCATGATCCCCATGATCCCAGGGTCCTGGGATGGAGTCCAGCATCAGGCTCCTTGCTCAGCAGGGAGCCTGCTTCTCCCTCTGCCTGCCGCTCCCCACTGCTTGTGC